TGACTCAGATCTTTAATAATTGAATATTATGACCTGGAACAAAAGCCCCATAAATGCAATTCTTCATCATGATCAAAGAAGGCAGGTACTTAAAGTAAGAACAAAAGTAAGTAAAGTAAGTAAAGTAAGAACAAAACATGCAGTAAATTGTAAATTTATTAAAATTGTAAATTAATTTAATTAATTTACAATTTAATTTAATTTAATTAAAATGTAAATTAAAAAGTAAATTGTGAGACACAATTCTGAGAAATGATGACCCAGGTTTCATTAAAGATCATCTATGGACAAAATTTGGCTCCTGCTGTGAATTCTGAGAGCATTTTTCATGGTCAAGAACAGAATCTTTGATTTGGAAAGATGATGGTCAAGAATCTGCATTTAGATTTAGATTTATTTTTTTCCTGATTGGATTTCCATAATGTATTTCTCCAGAATTAAAACCTGGATTTAAAATATGAGGGCTGTCCTGAAAATAGTGCTTCCTATTTTACGATGTTCTCACATCATGAGAGGTGGATGTTAGTGGTATGGCAGTAGAAGTTTATCTTTCCCACCAACATTCCGTTATGTTTTGTTGCCATGTGACAGAACACTAACTTTTCCAAACAATGCCTAAGTTCAGCTTCAAACACGGGTCTCTGGGAAGTTCAAAGGTTCAACTGGAATAGCCAAAGGTTAGGTGAATGAAGAACTCAAAAGGAAATGGAAACGCAATTCAGGTAACCTTTATGCAAATATTTATGAACTAGTGCTGATATTGGTAGTTTTACAAAATTATAAGCCCTCAGACCCTCTAAACTGCTTAATTAACTCAAATTTTCATGCAAGTATTCAGTTCAACATTATTTTAAGTACCTGGCTGTCTTTTTGTACTTCTGGTGGAATCTGGGATATTTCTAAATATTTCCAATGACCTATGCCTTTAAAGTGGGAAGATTCTTTGCAATTCATTCTGAAACAAAGGTTCCACCTTAACAGCATATAGTAATGTGCAATAGCATTCAATTTTCATCTGTGTGCTGGCCATCAGATACTATATGTTCCCTCTCCCACACAATTTAATACATTTGCTACCTTGCAGGGTAACTTCCCCAGGACTTCCATCTAAACCCCTTTCCAAAACCAGTATGAAAGACATGAAAAATAATCATTATCATGAAGTATTAACAGGTCTCTCATTTTCCTTCCAACTGTTCACTGTTTACTAAGGACTTCCTTATTATTGACCAGTCATTTGTATATTGCCTTTTAAAATGCCAACTTATTTAAAATACCCATTGAACAACATGAATCACAATGGCAGTGAAAAAGCAATAGATTTTAATTATACGTTATTATACTTGCAATGTATCCAGTTTAAATTTTAAGAAACTTAAAGGGCATAAGCAGAATGTATGGAATATATCTTAGCTCATGATCTCACTTCCTTAATAACACTATGTAGGGTATTGCTACGTAATAACAGATAAAACGGCACAAAGGAAGAAGACAATTTAATGTCAGTTAGTTCTCATATTAACTATAGTTAACATGGTCACAGTTTCTCATTTGAAACCTTTTTCAATGTGACATTCTATGGGATAAAGTGTGATTATAACAACATTTTTATAGTACATCATTTCATGGCTTTTTTTTTTCTTGGCTTTACATTTATTCACTAGTACCAAATCATAAATTTAAGAATGAGAATTGCTCTGTTTGATTAACACTAAGAAATTTAGCATGTAACCAAATCTGAAATATCACTTTTTATTCTCTCAAAAATGTGATTCCTAAAGAACTGTCAGAGACAACATACAGTGCTTTCACAAAATTTACTTTGCAGAAAGCTGCAATACGTTAGCAGCTTGGTTTCCCTGTATTCGAACTGCAAAAGATTACAAGCCCAGGGATTTCAATTTGACAACAGGCGGAGATCAACTTTATGTCAGATACACAGCTGGTATGCAAAGTCATCCAAAAGGGATAGAAATTACCAAATTATTATCATTATCGAAATCATCTGTCGCTGTATAACCATAGTGGATTATGCATTAGAATGGTAATGCTGACAATAACGACAACAGTCATAGCGTATGGAAGACACAAACAGGACATGAATCTGAAGAAACTTCTAACAATTGTCACTGGATGGATGTTCAAAGGGATAAGTGGCTTTTGACATCTTTTACATCTGTTATGCTCATAACTGTCCCTTTTTTTCTGATTTTCCTTATACATCAAATTATGCGGCTTAAACTTTGTCTTCCGTAAAATTAATTGCTGAAAGGCTGATCTTCATTTGTGAGGTGAAACATCTGTCAACGGGGTACTTATTGCCTACATTGTCATGTTGGATTTGGCTCAGATTTTTAAAGATTCTATGAAAAATGGTTAACCTTACAGGGGTGTCATTACTGTTAGGAGAGATCCTGATTCTTTTTCATGTTACTTCATTTATTAAAGAAGAAATGCAACAAATAAGAAGTATGAAACATTAGTTTTTGTATTAGGGGAGTCTAAATAAAGTAATAAAACAACCAAATTTGTGTAGCCTGCATTCGACCAAATATTAACATATTTTGCAGGATGATGTAGGGACTCCAAAAAAATCAGAGGCAAATGTGAGCATATATACTTCTGATTTACCTAACTGCATCTAAGACTATCAATCACAGGCAGAAGACACCATTCTCCTATAACTAAGGGCATCTATTTTATTTATTACTAAGCCTAATAGTCAGGAAACATTAATTTCAGTTTTGGAAAGGGATTTTTTTAGCTGGTGTTAAAGGCAAGCAGACTGATTAGCACTCATCAAAATGCAGTAGTATATTCTGTCAATTAAGGTCTCTCAAACACATTAAAAATGAAATCCCAGCTAGAAAAGAAAGAAAACACAAAGGGAGAAAGAGAGAAAGGCAAAAGATGGGCATGAGAGGACAAACCAATCAGATTTAGTGTTACCAGCCAGCGGAAGTTTTAAAAAAACAGATCACCGAGTGAAATCGTACATTTGCTCGGAGAGAGCATCCTTTGACATTGCCTTCTAGGTGATCTCTGAGCTCCTCCAGCTTTCGATGGAGCTACATGTAAACATCAGAAAATGAATTGAAAAAGCAACCTGTTCTCTGATCATGTTTTTTTCCTTTTCTTTTCCTTTTGTTCCTTGTTTTAAAATCATAGGATAGCACATTTCTCACTGCCTCTGGCAAAATATTTCAAGACATCAAAGCGATTTCAACAACAGAGACACGCAAGCTCGATAAACTTCAAAACTGGAAATAAGATATTTTTGCTTCATTAGAATGGATCTTTTTTCAGCACAAGAAAAACACTGAAAAAAAATCAAGGGAATGATTGTTCTAAAGCATCTAGATCTCTGCTACACTGATTATTTGCTTGTTTATTGTTAAGGCAGTGTTCTAGAATGTATTTTCATCTCAAAGGAGCATACATTCACATTTTGGATTCCCAGTTAGGATATCCAACTATACGGATATTTATGTAAGATTTTGTGTCAGAATACATATTTTGAGCAGTAAAATTAAATCCTGAGCAGTCAGGTACAGAAATAAGAATCCTGAAGTAGGTATCAATAAACATTCATAAAACAGGAGGTGAATCTCATCCCTTATGAGTTACATTTTTTGCATATGTATACACATTATGCATGTAAAAGTGTATGCGATGACCCAGTAAGATGAACAGGTCGCAGTAAGAACATACACAAATCTCAGCACAGAAACTGTCACTGTCTTGTCTTTTCCCCTGTGTGCATTCAGTGGTACTGAACGTCCATGGCCTCATTCACAGAGGGCTCTTCTCACACAGTAACAAAAACTTCTTCCCAAAACACAGGATGAAAAGATAAAGCCTCACAGACAGTGAGGAATGCTACAGATGCAGCTAGGTATCACTTGTATAACAAAGAGCAACTGGCTTCCTTGCAATACTGAGATCAATTTAAATGGTGTCATTACTGGAAAGAGGTGCATAATTAATCCTTCCCCTCCCCTTCTTTATGCTCAGTGAAATAACATTTTCACAAAGAGCAGCAGTAGAGCAGTGTTAGAGAACAGAGAGGATGGCTTGTCCTGGAACAAAGGCAGTACACACGCATACAAGAACAAAACAAAAGATCAAAAAACAAGGCAGGAGAGGCAAAGAGAGTGCAGAAGAAAAATGAATTAGTTAGCGCTTTAGAAAGTGCTAAAAGGAGATAAAGTGGAAAAAAGGTGGAAAATTGGGTGGCTGAAAGAGGCAACTGTTGAGATGGAATCTTAACAGAATGGCCTGGACTGCATGTGATCAGCATCCTGGTACAAATTATGTTCTGTGTTTTAAATCATTTATTAAAGTGTAACACTATACATGGGTAGGTAATAATTTAGATATCTGCTTGATAAGTGCTCTAAAGTTTTGAGTCTGTTTATGCAAACAAAAGGGCAGAAAAGGGGACTAATTATTTAGAAAAACAGTGGCTCCATTCTTATTAGTCTCACATGAATCTCTCTCACTTCCTCTTTATCTGCTCTGCTTCTTTCTGATTTAAAGGCTAGATATGGATGAAATATTCAACTTTCTTATAATGGTCTTTTGCAGAATTTAAATGCAAGAAGTGCAAGCACTATAAAAGTTATATTATGTTTTAGATGGGAAGCAGTAGTCTGAAGATGAGTAAGTCACTTCTCTATGTAACAGGCAGTTAAGTGACAAACAATGCACATCAGAGAAGTGGTTTAATCATGATCATCAAATTATAGGCACTTCAAGAAAGTCGATGTTTTGTATTTCAAGACATTCAAAGCTTACTATCTGGCCTTCAAGGTTGTTCTATATGTAGCACAGAAACAAACAAAATGTGACCCAACAGCAATAAGAGTATTGAAATAAAAATGATGAGATGGTGAGAAATGGAAAAGCCCCTTCCCTCCCTCCCCTCACCTCCCCCTTGAAAAGGAAAAATGTAGGCTATAGAAGAAAATTTGCAAAATAAATGTTAGAAACATATTTACTTTGAGGGATCCAACTCTACTAGCAACTCCTTTGCTTTCATCCGGCCGTCTAATTTGCTACAATGGAGGAAGATGGGTAAAAAAGACAGAAGAATAAAGAAAAAGTGAACTTAAAAAAATTTCCACACAATCAGTTAGCAGTACATGCAAGACATCAATTTGACTCTCTGAGACATCTCTAGAGGACAAAGACACAGACTCTAATTTCTGAAATAAATGGTGATTTATCATGTCATTTTAACCTTCCCTTGTTGAACTTTTTTCTCATTATATTACCAACCTGGCATATATTCTGCATGCTAAATTCATTATTATTTCTGAATGAATACATGTTACTTATCTGATCTGTATACAGAGAATAATGAAGTCCTAAAATTCTACCTGAAGAATAAAACCACTATAAATTCTACAAATAATATGATCATAGTGTGCTGTAACTGGGAGTATCAGGCCTAACAAGTATCATTACTGATACCTGACAGAATGCAATACAGATTCCAGTTGTCCCTGTCCGAGAGATGTTAGCCACTGCTATCAAGTTTCCCAGTTAAAAATTATGCTGCCCAACCAGAAAATTTTAATGCCAGACCAATATCAGATTTTTCTTTTAAATATACAACATATATGACTTCTCCCACATATGTCCTACCTGATTACTCTTCCTTTATTATATAATTTTTTTCCTAGATGACGCCGAGGATAGAAGAAACAAATGAGGTAGATGCTCAAAACACCTTGTATTGCTAGAAGCACACAAAATAAAACATTTATTTACATCCCGAGTTCTTTTCAGAATTGCTGAATCCAGTAAATAAACCTTTTCTAATGATAAATTAAACTGGTGTCACGTCAATTGAAGTAAAAAGGATGAAGACAATAAAAATGACCTTACGCATATCCTTCTGCTTGCTGAGTCAAGCCTGAATGGAGCTTCTGTTACCGGATGGTTATTTCGCAGTGTATGAAAAACTAAGTCTCACACAACCGAAGTGAAACCTTTCAAACAACACCTCCTTTCCTTCGTGAAGTCCCACCAAGGAAGCCAAAGACTGAACGGGCTACGGAAATTTAACTCTGCCTTATGATGGCCAGGACATTCCAGTAAAAGTTAGATTGCCACTTCGAGAACTTAAAAATGTCGCAGTCAAAACATAGTCAAGATTTTTTTTTTTTTTTCTTACACTAGACTGGGAAGAAAATAACGCACCTAAACAATACATTAATTATCTAAATATTTAGTTCTAATAGGATATGTAATAGGAAAGTACACTGGAAACATTTATGAAACCTGTTGCTTTCCTTTGCTAGTCTTACTGCATTAGAATAGTAATAATTTTGAACTATGAAGAAAAACATCAGCTCTACAGTTTTGATGGAACTCTGAGTAAATCTCCAAGCAATTCCAGTACACTGACCAAGAAAAAACTGTATTCATTAAAAAAAAAAAAAAAAAAAAAAAAAACAATTCTCCTTTAGAACACAGATTTAACCAAGAGGAAAAAAAAAAACCACCAACCAACAATGATTAAAACACCCTCAAGAGGAAAAAGAAATCCTTATTGGAAAACAAAGAGACATGAGTTAGTGCAAAAACACTTGGCCCAGTATCCTGGTACAAATACTATCGATCTCAGAAAGTATAACATGATCAAATACAACCATTTTCAAATATAATGTTTCCAGTTTTGCTTTGAAAAAAACGAGAACTAGAAAAAAGAAAATTATTAAAAATAAATACTGATAATCTTACAAAATCTTAATTGCATGGAGTCAGGACATTATAAAAAAATGCTATATATCACAGAATTGAGGGGAAAAGTTTTAAGAGACAGCTATACGCAAGCCCTTCACAGAAGAAAACCAGTTTTATTCTTTTACTTACCAGTGTGGGTAGTGCGGCTACTCAAGTTGTTCTGAAGGTTTAGGACTCAGAAATTAGTCTGGAGATAATGCATATAACTGAAATTATATCTTTCTCTCTTCAAAATACATAGAGAAAAATATACAAGATCTATAGATCACAAGTGATGAAATAATAAATACTTGAAAATAAAAAACCAAGAGGAAATAGCTGAAGTTCAGCTCTTGTTTACATTCATGGCACAAACAATATGCATGGTAACATTTTCTAGGGGAACCTGGACATAACCACACAACTTAGTGTTTCTCAAGGGGTGGACCAGAGTACTGTGAAACTTGCATACACTATACTACTTACATTCTGGGTATTCAGCAGGGTATTACTGGGGGGAAAGAAAAAAGCGAAACAAAAATCAACAAAGAATACTCTTTTTTTTCATGGCAAATGCCACAGAAAGGAATTCAGGTGTATCCTTATTGCTGGTCAACTCCTGTCTAAAGTTCTAGAAGTTGGTCAACAAAATAGTATTTTAGGAAATGATCATGGATTATACACTCCTTACTTTTCAGACCCAACTACACAAGAATCCTATCACAGACGACCATTTATAGCTACAAAAACCAGAATGAAAGATCGTGCACCTACATGTTCTTAATCAAAAGTATTTCTATGCCTATCCCCACCAGTAACTTGTGTGATCTAAAACTGAGTTCTTTGATTTTTCTATTCATTATCTGTTAAATGAAAAAAATCCTTCCTTCTAAGCAAAATGTAGATCTAATAAGAAGAACCTGAACAGCAAAACTGAAAACACAACATTCAGCTTCTAGCTTTATCTTTACTATGTATCATTTTTATATCACAATACAGCTAAATGAGTAGATAAAGAGATAAGGCAGGAGCAACACTAAGTGATTACTATCAAAACATTAGCTGAAAGAAGTGCAGGTTTTGGAACAATGTGAAAGAGTTGTAATGAAGTAAGAAATGTAGGAAACTGACAGGGTGTAATGCACTGACAGTTAAGACATACATCATGTTTACATCCCTTTCTTACTCACAAGGGAGTAAGATAGGAGTCAAGAGTTAAGGATAAGCCACAGGTGTCCTTCCTGATCTTTGAAGCACAAGAGAATAATGATGGGAAGCCAGTGGAAGAAAACTCAGGAAGTAGGGAAACCAGACCCAAAGAGCAAGAAAAGACAGGCAATAGATTTATTAGAAGATGAATAAAAATTATGGTTACCAAAAACCAGGCATGTCATGTTTTCCAAGCACAGCTCTCATAGACATTTCACTATTATTCCTCTATCCTCTAATAACATCAATATGAAATACACCTGTTTATCCTTAGTTTTACTTCTGTAAAAAGAACTTAAGAAATGGAATATATATAATTCAGCAGATATACTCACAGGTTATAAAGAAAAAACAAGTCTGAGACTCATGTTTTGTTTGGATGTATTTAAAGAAGGAGTTCCACAACAGCAGAATACTTAGCACTATCCATTTCACTTGCAGACTCCTTCAATTCCTGATGATAAAATCCTGCTCTTGCTATTCCTAAATTTCCCTGCTTACTGCTTCTGACAAGGAATTTTGCAACTTTCAGAAGCGTGTTTTCATATCCAAATTCAGCAAAAAGCTGAATTTGTCAGGCTCTTTTTTTTTTTTTTTTTTTTTTCCTAAAATCCTGGTTAATACACAGTTTGACAAAACATTTTTATGATCAAATTACTTAATTCTGAATACATTCAGCACCAACAATGGAAATTCTTTACAGCATCAATTTAAAAGATGTTAAGTTCTACATCCTGTAATGGTCCAGGCATGCACTGTTGGAATCATGTTAACCAAAAGCAAGTGATTATTTTATATGGCATCCAAACAAAGTTCAGGTTATTTTTTGGACACATTAGAACTATGTAAAAACTAATCTCCTACTTGACCATGATGTACTCCAAATCTATCTCTTTTCCCCAAGAGCTGTCAAGGCAGAATATGGAAAAACAGCAGTGGGATAAAACTTTCTCCAATCTAACATAGCTTAAAGAGAAGATGATTCAGAGAAAAAGTAGGTGTATGCATAAAAACAACATTAAAAAGATCTTTAAAATAAATATATTGAAAAAAACATTAAAATGTACAAATGAGAAACTAACTTTGAATCACAATAATTGAGAAAGCCCTCACGTGAAGTAGGGTCTGGAAGAACAAAATACATTAAAAACATGGATACCTAGGAGCAATTGGCAATTTTTATCAAATGTCTGGATTTTCCTCCTGTTGATAACAGCACATTCAACTAGAAAAGAAAGTAGTCCACTGATGAAGAAAAATCAGAAAAGCTGTGTATATTATCACAATATTGTTTTAGAATTTTTTTCTTGAAATCTCTCATACCATTCACACTATCAGAAATGCATCTCAGAAGTATAACTCAACTGACAATTATTTCGCATCAGCTGTCTAGGAACAAAAAACTCGGGTGTATTGGCCAGATCCCCATAGGGAGGTGAACACAAGGGGGATTATTATGAAGGTCTAAGATGCTTTTCTGACCCTTAGCAGTGTTTGTCAGAGTTCATGGTACTCCAGAACTAACGAGATAAAATGACTAAAAACACTGATATGTGCAGCATTTTCTACAAACTTTGCTTGCCTGATCAACAGCAGAAAATGCTGTTACAGAAATGTACACTCCAGTTACAATTTTCTTCTCAGTGCTCTAGATAAAGCGAGCAGTTTTGGCTTCTAACAAAGAGCTTAATGTTTTTTTAATATTGTGGCAACTCAGGTTCTTTTAAGTTAAAAAATGCATTACATTTAACTTTTACACTTATGCATAAAAAAAAGGTTTGTAGTTGAAGGCAGTTTTACTTCTGGAATTTTAGGCAAGACAAGTGCCAATTAGTTGAGGCTTCCTGAATAAATGTGGAGTGCTTTCAAACAAAGGGAAGAAATACTTCCATTACACAGATGAACATTCTCACACAATAAAACTATTCTCCTGTACACATTACACTAACATAAATGTTTTGTTAGGGCTGCTGCACTTCTTTGTTGCATATGATAAACCTACAGAAGTGTAATGTACACAAATGCCAGCTGATGCCAACATAACATTATCATACCATCTCACATTTTGTTCACACTATCCACTATCACTCAGACTATTCCATATGCAGATTAGAGA